TTTCTCATCGACAAGAGTTATAGTGTAATTTTACAATATTTAAGACGGTTGTTGATTTTTAATGATTGTGATAAAAAAATATGTGGCCAATGAGAACGATTTTTGTTTTTATTCACCAAGAATTATGAAACGCAACGATTCAATTTGTTTTATGACAAATCAAGTTGTTGTTTTTATGTTTACTTTCTTGATGAAACGTTTGGTCTTTCAAATAAACAGTCTAAAACAAAATATAATATTTAAAAAAATTGTCAGTACTTTATCAATAAATTTATGTATCCGCGTGTTTAAAATTAAAATATATTCGTCGATGTGAATTATAAAAATAAAAACTTTAACTTTTAAACAATATGCCTACATATTTAATATATATATATTATACAATGTCACCATAGCGACGACACAGTATTATATATGGTATAAGTTAACACGTGCGTAATTGTATCACGGCAGTATTGGTGGGTCATTCACCCGGTAAGGTCACTGCAGTTCGCATCGAGTTGCGTACTACGGACCTACCTTTGTAGTACATACGAGTATGTACTACAAATCACAGCCCGCTATTTTAATTGCTTCGCACATACTAGGACCGAGTGTAGTATAGATAATCTCCCTATTGATTTAGTATACTAAGTAGGCTACAGTAGCCAATTTCCATGAGATGCTCCGTATGTTGAAACGTAGTAAATTTCAGTGACTGACAGAAGTAAAAAACAAAGCTGATCACTGATCATATTCATAATATAATTATAAAAACAAATTTTCCGTAACCACATATAAATACCACATAGAAAGAATTTAAAAATATGTTAATTAGTTTAAATATTCTTGTTATATTTATTCACGTAGTACTAAACAAAAGACATGTAACACTTTTATTATTTTCTTGGTGGATGAAATAGCCTTTTTATGTCGTACCTAGATGACTATATATAGTATATCATAGTCATCCAGTCTACCCCGGTATCTAAATAGAACTAGATTAAAAAACATGTAAATATATATAATTTGTGATAAACAGTTAAATAAATAGATTGAATCAATAAGTACAGAACAGGAAACTAGGACCAAAAACAAATGACGCGCAACGGTATCGTCATCCTGTACCGTTTGATTTCTGTTTAAAACTTCCATATATAGTACATAAGTCCATTGCTTAAATCGTGTATTAATTACTTTTGACTATATATTTATCAAACATAATTTGTTCTGGACCGATAATTATTTACAAGTATATCGACACTAAAATATATGTTACGATACAAAGTCATCTGCGCCTACATTACCGATCTAAGGGGTGTAAGGGGGATTGTTAGTAATGTGGACTGATGACTGTGGACAGCGGACATATCAGGTTTATCTCCAGGTGGTTCCCCTTGGAAACCATCGTGATAAATTCCTGGTGAATTTGCTACGACGTCGACGGGCTTCATGATCATCTTATCTACCCTCCACTGGTGCCCCGCCAACGTAAACCGTTAGCACAGGCGAGTGCACCATACCGTTATAATCTATTAATAAATTACCTTTGTCTCACCTAATTATGCTTGCTTCGTAATCCTTCTTGAAGATGTGACAGTGAAATAACAGGGTACCATATCATATCATATATTTGGTATCTAATAACAGATTACAAAAATATGAAACTTTAATTCTCAGGAATGGCAAAGCATGACCAAAGTCACGTGTGACATCCGTGTTTACTATTCATGTTTATAAGCAACGGTTCCCTCTGATTGGGTTTATTAGTCCTCTCATCTAGCAATCGTAATATTAGCGAGAATTTTCAATCAAGGTTTAAAATCCGAAATTAATCCTATCAAATCTATTGAGTAGGCTAGATATGAAATACAGCAATATACGATTTGCTATAAACTATACCTTATTTATATCCCCCAATATGAGTCATAAGTAGTAATCAAAAGCAATTAAATATGCATAGAAATCTAAATTTATAGTGCGATTATCGTATTAAAAAACGATAAAGATAATATTAAATAACGATAAAAATAAGAGAATGAAAATCGATGAAGGATAGTCACGATAAACATAATGCGAATAATTTATGCTATCTTACCCCTCTGTAATTAGAGATATTAAGATATAATGCTATTGAAGCAAACATCTGTTATTAATAACAAACTACACACTGCTATAATAAATTGCCAAGTGAAATTGTAAATTTATGTCGAAATAAATTCAAGAAAGAACTACATAGATGACTAATCAGCAAATCTTACTACAGTGTTCAGGTTACTTAATTAAAAACATTGACATGTATAATTTATAATTATTTCATTAATTAGAAATTGACATCCTCACTCATATTATAAATAATGTGCGTACTTAATATTGACTAATAAAAACTAAAAATTGACATCTGTTTTGTGTGTTGCATGTCAGAAATGCCAAAATGTGTGAAACTAATTGTAAAGACCTTAAAAACCACATATGTACCAAATTATAAGCCATAAATATTCATTACCTTTTATATCTATATAGTATAGATTTAGCAGTGTATGGCTTGGGATATCATAAAGGTGAAGAGTTTTATTGCTTGAATACGCTAATCTCGGATGTTACGATTTCGCCTAGGATATTTGCTTTGCCTTTATTTTACGAAATGGGCATAGACGTTCCTTCTAAAGACTACAAATCTGGACCAAGGACAACATTGATTGTATTAGCATAAACTCCGTAGGCTAGGGGTACAAAAATTACATTGAATAAATGAAATCTTATTGTAGTGCGATGGTTATCCTCACCACTGTAGCGTTATAGATGATGTGAGCGCTCTGAAGGTGTCGCTACTTAATTTATTCTTTATTGTTGTATCTAGTGAGTATACAGGTGTAATAATTGTTCTATTTATTGTATATTAATAAGTTTATTTGATAGTGTGCAAACCAAGTTGCATTAGTGACGCGGACATTCGACGCGGAGTCGTGATATGAACTGACTTTACACTTAAATTTATGTTACTTGGAAGCACTAATGGAAGGGTGTCGAGGTGTTGACGGAAATATTACAAGTGTAGGCACCCTAAAATGACCTTCAATTTATTGATGATGTCAATTTAATATAATAAATAAAGTAAAACTATGGCTCCTTCACATTGCACACATATGAGCTACTATACAGTATTTATAGGTAAAAAATTCATAAATTAATACATTGATACAGATATGATTATAAAAAATAAAATTTAAATTAATTAACTATATTTATTTAATTATTTGATAATATCATATAACTTACGACAAAATTTTAATCTGCATATATTTCTGCGTAATGTTGAATTAATTAAAATATTTATTTCATTGGCGGTCAATCTATGTCATATCTAAATCTATGGCCTGTCTTTCCTACTGAGACATAGTTACCGCAGACAATTGAGTTGCGAAACTAAACAAAGGTTATATAGTGAAGTGAGAGGTTCTTTTTCGAACGGAAGCTGGCAAGGCTGAAAGTGGCGACCTAAACGACAATATATTAGTTCCGTCAAACACTAAATAATGATTGTTAAGCAATATATTTTCTAAGAATGTTTATATTTTTATTTTTATTGATGTAGACTTTGCTCAAATAATAATAATCATAAACTCTTTATTGTGCACAGAATACAATATGAAAAACAGTAAGTAGAAAAGTAACAACAAAAGGCTGTCATGTCGCTTTAAGAAATTTCTTGCAGACAACCCGGAAGTATAAGTTCTCATATTAAAGGTAGGTGGCACACACAAGACAATATATTTACTAACCGAATAAATAGACATACGTAATATAGGTATAAATATATAAACTTATACATTTGCATACATACATACTATATATTGGAAAGTTTCAGAAAAAAAAGAGTTATAGAGAGAGATCTTATTTGATTTTTAAATGTTTCAAGGATTAAACAGATCAAATGGAGAGTGGCAGGGAGAGCCGAATGACTTGGATATTAGAGGAGTAAGAATAATATATGGAATAGTGAGCAGGTATCGTCAGTTAAAGACTTCAAGTACTACGCAAACAGAACCCGTGGATTTAGTGTGAAATTGGAAATTCATTTTTATATTCAGAAGTAGAGGGGTGTAATTGAATAGTGTAAAGAAGGGATAATATATAAATTCGTCTATATGAGTACCTTGTTATTCGTGTTTCGCATTAAATGGTGAAATTGCATGATTCGAGGAACACCATAGTCCTCAAAAATAATAATTAATAAGAAGTCATAGTGATGTCAGTGCTACCTACAGTAACAATCATTTGCTACTTTTGTTCTATTGGAACAACTTTTTTAGCAATCTAGTTACATAACAATTGTAACATACTTCTTATCCGGAAAGAATAACCAATTCACAGAAACAGAAAGACGGAAGTGTCTGTTGCTTTTTATCTATTTCAATGTATATATTATTTTTAATATTATCAAATGAGTATTGTAAGTACATATATAGAAACGGATATCTGATCTCGGTAAATATGAGTTAACTAGAAACAATAGTATGTTAAAAGAGGAAATGTGGTCATTCTTTGTACAGTATAAAGATATTTTGTATATTTCCACTATTGCTTAGTGGAAATACTTGTAAAATAAATAAATACTCTGTGACATACTACCTAATAATGTTGAGTAAAATCTTTCTGAAATTATACTTAAATCGAATAAAATTAATGAAAGTACTGATTTGTTATTCAAGAGTAGGATATAAAAAAATGATCAGTATATTTTATTACATGTTGTGTTTAATATAGATATGTTGATATGATTGAAACTAATTTATATGGTTGACATATAATTAATATTATCATATTCATACCAATTCCTAAAGAAAGAATTCTACTGACATGAAATCTCTTGTTCTAGCCTGTTGTAATTGTTTTTATTACTAAACACGTAACTATAAATTATAATACATATAAATCTTTGTAAACGCTTTTAATATTGTACTAAACTGTTCCATGCTTAATTATGCTGTATGATCAAATTTTAATAAATCTAAGTCACAATATAATATTATAAAATTGTATATTAAATAAATTACCTCTTCAATATATATTAAAAAAAGAAAAAACAGACTCAAAAACTTCAAAGTTAAATAAATTACACAATATTCGCAATTACAAGTATATTTAAAACATTACAGTAACAGGCGTGCATTGATTTTAAGTAAATAAATTATTTTGATTTCAAACGTACATATTTTTATCACATTTCATTATTTCCTTTCATTTTATTTATATGTGTAGTGCATCGCCGCTTGCTTTTATTATTTAATTCAATTTGTATTAATAATATCATGTTTGAAATAGGCACTGTAGTTTATAATGTTACTTTAAGCCATGTAACCGAGTTCACGATAAGAATCTACTAATCCTTCAATTCTTGACTTGAATACTGATACAGATTCTTGGTCTAAATTGGATATGTGCATTTTCGCCATTGCCTCTTCTATCTCATTTGCTTCTGTCTCCATAGATTCTTTTAGTTTAGCGGCATCTTCTGATTTTCTGATTATAATCGTGCTCACCATTATGGCATTTCCCATAAATAGTTTTGAGTATCTCTTCAAATCAGCATCTAATTGATCTCTTGAAAAAATTAACTCTACCTTTAGATCGAAATAATCTAAAGATTTCTGTAATTGCATATGGTAGTAATCTATCCAGTCGTGGTAATGAGCATGCCTATTTGCATAATCTGTGCAATTAAATAGCATGTAAAGAATATCAGAGACAGGATTAGATACTTTTGACAATTGGTAATCAATCATAATGGCTTCAAGTGGTTTCTCCTGCTGTAAATAGAAATTACATATTTTTTAATACTAATTACCGTTATAAATTTTATATAAAGATCATGTATGCTTTAAAAGTATAATATAAGTATTTTAACTTACCTCCAACTTAAACATTATGTTGTTGGTCCAGCCATCACCTTGTATTATAACTGAATATTTCAGTTTAGATTCATTTTTTGCAACTTTTGCATACACCTCCGGCATTTTAGATATGGATCCACGAATGGCATTTTTATACATGGTCTTATCCAATATTTCAATTGAATCATTCTCTATACCTGCTATATATAGTTTGAATTCTGGTGTGTTAGCAAAAGCAGCGTAATAATCACTAAGTTTATTGTTATAATCTTCAAATACGTCAGGCTCCTGTTTCTTTAATACCATCGACAAAGAATGTAGTATTGCAAAGTTTTTAAGAATCAATTTTATACTTTCATTTGTAAGAGACTTGAATCTATCCAGTATTCCGAAATTCAAAACTTGCAGATCTTCCAGAAGAATAATTTCTTCAGGTGCGTGTAATATTAATCCATAACATTTGGCATACCTTAAACGGTCCTCTATTGGAACACCTGCAGATTTTTGTAGTTCCTCAAATTTGGGTAGAATTACAGTGTACATTATTCCTTCATTTTTAAATAACATATGAGGTTGAACTTGAGCACGAGCCATATTGTTGGTTGGAGCAACTTTTGCTATCATCTTAAATGTATGTCCATCCTTTTCTTCAACAATAATTCTCTTAACATTAGCTATGTAATTGTCACCTGCTTCACCTACTGTTTCTATTATCACTTTGTTGTCAGTATATCCACGACCTTTAAGCACTTTACGCAGAAGTTCTTCCTGTCGCTTTGAAAAACTATAAATTTCACCTTCGAAACGTAATTCCGCCATTATGCAATTTTAAAGTAATTTATTTATCTACAGATATCTATAGAAACTAGCTCGAAACTAACAAGTTTATCGGTGATTGGCCCTATATATAAATAGCATTCGCACGTTGATAAATTTAACCCGTACAAATGCTATGTATAAAACTTTTAGACTATAACATCCATATAATAATAACTCTCAAATCACAAATAATAATATCTAACGTTGACGTTCCTAAGACTGTTTACACGTAATGTAGTATTATTACTAAATTAAATATTTTATTTTGAAAACAATTTAATTATGCTATCATTTTAAATATGATATATTTATATGATTATATTTTAAATATGTAATTGTCAGGCGTTATTTGAGGGTTAAATTTCTGATAACGCATCAACAATCTTTCATTGTTGAGATAATAAATTGACGTCAGTATGCTAAGTGCATATTTAAAGCATAATTATGTTATCGCGTCCACTTTTATCCTACTTTTCTTTTTATATTTATTCTTTTTAAACTTTAACTAAATGCACACTATCCGATTTTGAATAACTGTGTTATTCTCGCCATTTTTAAAATCATCTTGATTATTCTAACTGATGTGAGTCTACTATGTTTGATGTGACTATCAGTATAGTCCGCTCTTCAATAGCCTGTGGTCTGTATTCATGTGGCCTGACATTAGCTAGACACAAACTGACAACCAAAGTCATCTACATGGGTACCTCTGTCTTACTTATTTCTGCTACCAAGCATCTTATTTTGTATGTAAGAAGTGTTTGATTGAAGGGTAAAATAAATAGAAATTATTATAAGAGTTATGTTGCCATTCCGGCACTAGATGGCTGTAGTACTGTTCATGTATAGACGAACAATAGTCGCCTATGTACATTAGCAGTACTAAGGCAGTAAGTGGATTACCATAGGTGAATAGAAATATGTCAATAAAAAGAATGTCAATTTCTAAAATATCTAAAAAATGACCAACATACTACTGGCCAGTACGAATATATTTATTTACAAAGGTAATAGGTACGTTCTTTCATTCACCTGTAAAAGTACTTAACACAACAGGGTCGTTACTAATGCACATTGTTATGAATAGTTAATTGAATTAAAACAACGTGAAACAAAGGGTTTTCTATTCGACAAGGCCGACAAAGCAGGCCGGAAATTTGTTATGACTTAACGTACTGTTATCCTCTGCTAACATAGCCTAGTTTAATGTGGGTTAAAAATCTAATGAATTCCGTTCGCGTTTTCTTTATCTATATATAACAATTATACTAGTAAGTAATTTTTTTAAACTTGTTTAATAGCCGTTCGTGCTGGCTTTACAATTACACAATTGTCTGAGAACCATATTATTATAGATCCAATTAGAAGATCTGAGTTATTACGATGAAGGAATTTATCATGTTTTTACATATAGTGGGTTAACCATTCGCCAGACGGGGTCGAATGGCCACTGCCAGAATCTTACTCTTTAAACCTATTAATATATATCTCAGACCACAAAACCCAGTCCACAGGAACGAAACAATCCCTCCGCGATCTCAACATATCGTGTTCACCAACGATTAAAACTGAATTTAGAAGTAATAGAGTTATATAAGAATTAGAGCATTTTACAAAAACGTAAAGGTAGAGAGACCTACCCCGATAAGTCAGGCACGATTTTATGTACATAAACACACAAACCGTTACACCTGTATGGATATTAAGTAATTAATGTCATTTATTTTCATGTTTATACTACCCTCTAAGTAAGGGGAGAATTCGTGAACATTACAATTATTTATTTTATGTGTGCTAAATTACGAAAGAGAGGGAGGGGAAGACAAAGGCACAGTTATATCAAGCAAATTAAAGACAAAATTAGCGTCGTATCATATTAACATTTAAAGTGCATGATGGAAGATCGTGAAAAGTGGCAATAGCTCCACCAACAAGAGCGTGGCTCTTAAATTATGAATGAACTAATTACGTGCTAAATAAAATATTTCGTCAATATAATGTCTATAATGCAAATACCGAGAATTAAAATTACTGTCTTACATTATAATTTTTGTATTATCTTGAAATGAGAAGGGAGAGGAGGATGGTAAGAAAGGCAATGACAAAATTATCGCATATTTAGTACATTACCGCTAATCTTTCGTTCGTAATAATAACGAATAGGTATGAGAAAAAACATTAGCGAAAAACTACGTTACCTCGCCTTATATCGAGGAGTATCACTGAGGAAAATTGTGAAAGAAACGTTGAACATAAATGAGATCTTAATGTGTATTACATAGAAGAAAAATTACCTGTAATGGTTAGGTTACACAGGGTTCTTCACGTAGAAAAGACGGTGAATAACAATAATGCTTTTTATGTTTTATATAGTAATAATAGTACCTACTGTTTTATTTGTATTACTGTATCCATTAGAAGTAGTGTACAGTTATTTAAGTTTGCATCAGTTGACTAATATATTTTAGCTTAGCCGAAAATAATAAATATACTTAAGTAACAATAAACAGTAATATATTTTTTTTATTATTATGTATTGAAGTTGCTATGAAACATTGATCTATCGATGTCTGGCATTGACTTTGCTAGCAATGATTATTACTCCACATTACTGGAGTAATAACCATTGCTAGCAAAGTCCCATGTCAGGTTAACCTCTATGTGGTCCCACCTGGTAACTATCGTGAAAAAAATATTGCGAATTTTACAACATCGGCTAACAGATGCTCATCATGCTCATCTTGTCATCCTCCAACGCCAGTGTACATCTATTATCAACAATAAAAAAAAATTACCGTCGCGGTAAACGCAATATTCAACATGCCCACCGTTACCTGTGTATATTTAAATCCAATATGACGGCGAGCCTACCGCCGTCTCTAGAATTAATTCTCGTAGAAATATACTCGATATTATAACAAAGGTTTTTATTGTCGATAAAATTGGAACTTATGAATTTTTGGTCCAAATCGGGGTAGTAAACCACTAGGCTATGATCCCTTGAATTAAATGACATAAATAATTAAATACCACTATACCTATGTTATAAGACGGTCCATGTTAAGTCAAGGTTGTTCAGTGAGTAGGGAAATGCTCATTAATTACGTACCGTTCCCATTTAGTCAGATTTGGTCAGATAAATGTATATAATTGCGTTCAATCGGCTTTGTAGCCTTTATGCCCAAAATTTTCCTTAAAAATGCCGATACATACTTGTATCATTATTTAACCGACTTTAAAAGGAATATTATTTATTAACCTACTTATTTTTTTGTAAGTTATACTTTTTCATGGCAAATGTTGTTATGAAATATTTTCAATTATTATTTGTACAGTTGTACTATTTTCTAAACCTATAGTTTAATTCCATGTTCAATGTTTTTATTCTAAATCCACCTTAACATAACAACTATTGCCAATGATTAAAAACATAATACGAGATAATCATTAACATCTAATTTTAGAAACAAACTTAACAACGTTCTGACATGTTACAAAAAATTATAATATTCGCACGAAATAGAAAGTGAAGGGTACATGGTATGGCTTTTGACCTGCTATGCTCTATACCAGTAGTTCCCAAACAATGTTCTGTTAGAGCCAACTTTTTTTATGTAATTGAAATGACCACCTTGCCTATGGCTACCTGATGGTAAGTGGTAACTATCGCCTATATACGTATATCACGGACATCATCACGGGTATCACGTCATCATGTGAAGCCCGTGATACCTTATGCGTTGCGATTCCGGAGAACTACGACGTCATACCATCATGCATTGCCAAATCTCACCGTTTAACGGAAATACAATATGAACCAAAGAGTTAATTAAATGTTTTTTAATACTACTTTCCATGAAAGTTTATTTACAGATCCATAAAAAAAATTGTGTACACTTGCCTAAAAACAAGTAAGTAACAGAACTGCCCTGCTCAAAAAAGGTTGAAAACCACTGCTCTATACTGAGCGCGTTACGAAACATACTTATTACAAGTCATGCGCTTACAATTCGCAAAATTGATGCATTTGGATTGTGCATATAAAAAAACATTTATCTACATTCTAATAACAATCTTGATGTTTAAATTAATAGGTTAGTGGTTTCATTGCATTCGACCTTTACTAAAGTTTTTTTACGTCTAGCGAATCTAGATATAATAATTATGAAGAAACTACAGATATATTACTGATAATTATAATTCTATAACGTTTTCTTACACAAATTAGATTTAAAAACGAGACATATGCATAAAAAATATGATTAAATTAATAAAAAGGTTTGAATTATATTGTGACTCCCTTCAAAGGCATCGCAATATACATACAGATCTTTAAAATATCAACTTGTATGCTAGAAATATAAAAATAGCATTTAAATATTATATATCTATAATGCCTTAAAGTATAATTATAAATGTACATTACCTAGTCAATTAAAGTCAGAAATTCACATGCGGAAATACATGCATTTGTGAGGTTATTTCATAAGCGTGATTATATATAAAAGGTAACAAATATATTATTATAGTATAAAAATATATACCCGGATATAAAGTAGTTCTATGTTATATACAATCCCTGCTTAGTTGGTGATTTAAAGTACAATTTTAAGATATGTTTTAAAATAATAGTAAAAGAATAACAACTGAGTACGATTGATATTATAATGTACCGTACTGTTTACGAAATCCATTTTATCCGTTAATTTATAGATTTCTTCCAGCTTAATTGTTTCTTTATCATGAACATCACACACATTTTTATCAGTGTCAAAGTCAGCAGAGCTTGTACCATGAATACTAGGCAACTGTGAGTTATACTTAAACAAATTGGGGAAAGGGGATTGTAATTGTAAAAAAATAGTAATGTGGATAAATAACTCCAATGCTAGCAATGTACCATGTTAGGTTGACCTGCACCCTGGAAACCATCATTTTAAATTCCTGGTGAATTTGTCACGATGGACTATAACCTAACCTCATACTCATCTTATCCCCCATTGGTGTCCCGCCAGCGTATAATGTTAGAGCAGA